GATTTGTGGAATGTCAATTATGTGGTTTTACCTTTAAGCAGACGACGTATTCTGTACAGTTGATATAGTATACACCTTTAGATTTCTTATAGCTCTACTTATGCTGCTGACAGTGGAAGCGTTTTTAATTAATTATAAATTTTGGTTTGTGATATACCTATATGTGTGCACTGCAAGTAGTGTGGGAGTAGGACACGCTTGTCGATTACACGAGTTTCGTGTGTTGAATTCAAGTTATTACTTGTTATTCAAATTTTTCTCCGAAAAATAGACAATGTTTTCATAATGATTTATTGTTTTGGTCGTTTGTGGAAAGTTAATGACATTTTTATAAAAACGTACACAATTACCATCAACTCTGTTAATACCGTACTCGTCCCACTGTGGGACACGAGTCTTCAATCAGGTCATACCATGTTTTCTATACCGATACCGAACCACAGATTTTTCACAGATTTATTCTCTTACCAACTGTTCTTCTTATCATGCATGCTTTAACTGTACAGTTAAGGTAAACAGTTATGAATTTACGTCGACTTTCACTCACGGGTTAATTGTTACATTAATTATAATCCCCTTTTGCTTAACGACACGGGCAGCCGTAATTGCTGCTAAGATTAGATTACGGAACGATTTAACTAAACTAATAAGAAGAATTACGATATACTTTTGTGTAAAATCCTCATGGTTCACTACCTTCAGTAAAGTAATATGAAAAAATCTTGAGCCTTCACCCGTGTCGTTTCTCCAAGAAAATTTACTTCATTTCCTTTAAAGATACAGAGTATAGACAAGAGGACGTGGAGTGAACATGAACAGTGCTGCACAGCAATGAGCACTGATCCATGTGTCCACAGATTTAGCATCAAAGTTAGTGAGAATATTTACGAAGCCATCAATTTGACTTTACGATTGCTTAACATTTAGCTGCGGTTAAAATACCTGCGCTTGGCGGTTGACTCTCAGCACTAACTTTTAATTAGTTACACTAGCAGTGAATGTGTTAGTCATTGGTGTTATTATAAACCTACACACACTCCTGCGCGTGATTGTGTGCGTTCCTGAAAAACGAGATTTGTGGTTTTTATCTCCGACGGACAGTAGAGTTTTTGTAAGTTTATCTGCCATGCCCGTCTGTCTGCCGTAGCTCCCTAATGGATGAATCGAATTGACTGCTTTTTTGTTTGAAAGCTCTTAGTGTGGTTTTTGCTGGTAATCAATGATATTCACCATTTATTTCTGTTTGTAACGGATCCGTAGACATTATTGCAACTAAAATATTCAAATTTGCCACCACAACAACAACCTGATGATGACCAGCACAGGACGACCTATATCTAAAATCTTCTATTTGCACTTAAATTATCTGACTACCTATCCTGTGTGCCTAATAGTAATTTTAACTAATTAAACCTCAACTTTGCCGCAGAGAAGATAGCTGTGTACAATACACACAATTTAATCGCTGTCAGTGCACTGGCCCAATCCCTACAATGTAACAATAATTTTTCAAAGGCTGTGTTTAATCCGGTTAAAACCACTGCTGGTTACCTAAAGTGTGTGTAACCAAGCAAAGGCACCCAGGAGACAAAGGCAAATCCGGAAGAATGGATACGAAAAAATGGTTGAGTTGAGATACGATTAATATCTACACATTATGCCCATAAGCGTTCAATGTTCAACACAGGTTAGGTCCAAACTTGAATGCTAATTGCGAAGACTGGATCCAGACTTCCGCTAAACCGACCTTACTAGGTTAAACATAGATTTCTGTATAGATACTGTCGCGCCTGTCTCCTCTTGGGATAGGGACCATGAACTGCTTTAGATAGGTTTCTGATATGTAGTATTGCATTGTATTGGCTTGTTTCACAGTCGTGAACAGGTCCCTGTTAATATGGCTTACCATGTCCACTATACTGCAACTGATGCTATGCTAGTTGGTAAATTTAAAATGTCTTCGAATATTGAAAATTAATAAAATTGATCGAGTTTAAATAGCTTAAATGTTTAAGCACGAGTTTCGCAATATTTTAGCGCAATCCAAAGTGTTTTTATGAACATTAGAGCAGTAAATATAACCAGGTTAACCACACCGTTCCAGACAGTAGGCACACTTATAGTACCGATTGTTAGTATTTGATTCCAACCGTGAAAGGTTTTAAGAAACAAACAAATTGAAAATTATTGATTAACTTCTTTTGGACTTTTGTGTGTCTTTTTTTTTTTTTTGGTCTTCTGCGTTAAATATAGTTACATATATGTGTAGTTGCAGTCTGTTTTTTCGGACGCACGAACAGATCGTCTCACAAACTGTCGTATCTGACATTGTTGACGTAACTGAGGAAGATATACGATCTGACTCAGCTTTCAAAAGCGAACATTCTCCACTAATCATACTTCCACTTTTTATATATGCCTACGACTAACTCATGGATGGAACGAGTTTGGCACGAGCTGCAGCTCAATGTGTGAAGTACTCAATCGGAAATACCTTGCTCTGATGAAGCCTAACGCTAATTACTCAGGAGAAAGACCAAAATCCATTTCTTTTACTTCAACTTGAATCGTATTAGCACGTGAACTCTCTATAAACATTGAATTTGTTATAGGCTTAAATTTTGAATAGTGCTATAATACCTGATATACCTACAGATTGTAAAGACAAAAACCTATGCTAAATGAGTGAGAGGTGTAAAAAGTGGTGACTTGAAGTGATTAGGAACTATCAAAGTGAATAAATCAAGAATGGCGTCTCCTGCGCCGGCGCCGCCGCGCGTGTCGCGCAACGTGTCGCTGCCGGCCGGCAGTCAGCCGCCCACCGTGGGGATGCTAGCTCGAAGGACCCTGTCCGAGAGGTGAAATTTTGATGATGTTCATTTATACTCAAAGCGTCGCTACAGCAAGTATCGTGATCATGAAGAACCATGCGCTGTTTCTCTTCTATTATAAGGTACTGCGTCCATGAGCACAATAAAATACAAAAAAACTATTTTAGCCTTTCATCTCGTATGTGAGGTTTGTTAGTACAGTCGATTGTTCCATTTTGTTTTTTTTTTCACCGCGTTTTACGATACTTTCATTACGAAAGAGGGATTAGGAATTAATGTATTAATTCAAAGCTGCCACATTAATAGCTTGCTTGTTAAGTCTCCATCTTTTCTATTAATATCCTTAATTGAATACGAACATTCGCAGAATATTTCAAACGTAAATAAAGTATTGCTGTAACAGTGGAAACCTCGTTACGGCGCAGATCACAAAGCGCTGCGCTTTGGCTTTAAATATATTACTGACTCAACGAATTTTCTGCCTCTTTCATGAATCGAGATGGAACAAACTTAACATTTAAATTGAACACTGAAAGATTACTGATTGGGCACAACCCTATTCTATCGTGCAAACATAAAAGGCGAAAAAGGTTTGACAATGATAGTTTCCTTCGAAAACGTTCAATTTCGAATGGTATTTGATAATCTTCTCATCTCTAGAAAGATCTCAATTTCGAAGGATCATCGGAATCCAGCGAATTGCTGTTAAGGGATCATATTGCGATCACGTTTGATCGTTTTCTTATTACATCAAATTCCTTATCGCTAATACGAGAATACTCCACAAGCCCGACCAACTTTGCTCGCTACTTGTTCGCATTTCAACGGACTCTAGACTGATATTCGCCAATGGCTTTGATATTCGTCTTTCATGTTCTTAAAATATGCTACGTTTGTTTTATCGCAGTTAGTTAATAAACAAATTAATACTGAGGCGTCAATCTGTCTCACTAGTAAAAGCGAGTACATAATACCAATAGATACATAAGTTGTGAATTGACGCTTAATTTAGGTGTAATATTTGCAAGTCTGAGTAAGCGTTCCGTCCGTTCGCCTCCGATCTGCGTGTGTCGAGCAGGTAACGAGCTTGCAAAGGTCGCGGCAGTCGCGAGGCACAGGCGTAACGCAAACATTCGCAGGAAGTTGAGCTAATTGCGTATAGAACTAGATTTTGTGGTGCTTGAATTTGAATATTACAATCGTGGATTGTACTGGAAAGTTTTCAGTATGAATTCATAGTACATTTTACAATTAGTATAGTTACTCATATAATACCGTAGCGCAGATATTAGACGCCACCAGGATTTATGTCCTATGCCCCTAATATATTGTCTGCTGAAGAACAAACGAATCACGCTTCCCCCACTTGAAAAAATCGCCCTGAGCGGTGAAAATCTTTGACTATTTGACTTTGACTTTTATTGCGTGGCGATCGCAATATGTCACATATTTGTCATAGTAGTATATGACTGGGAAGGCTCTGAAAGGCTTCCCTGATTATGATAGTAGGATTGATAAAATATTTTGTATGTATGTAAAATAATGGACAATTTACGCTATTATTTCAAATTTATCTTCACATCATAACTGAATCGTGACATGTTTAATCAACTTCTAACAGAAATAAGTTCCCCTATGGTTTTTCAGATTGTAACAAAATGCTGAAAACAGATTTGCGTGAATCATTCATCGTCATAGTTGACTTGAGTTTTGAATAGTCCTAAATCTATTTTAGCGCCAGTTTCTATTTCTTTAATCAGAACATTGTAAAAGACGTGCATGTCTTTGAATACTTCCGTGGTATCCAAGGTAAACGTAGTCATCGTGTGTTGATTTTAAATCTTTGATATTTTTCCAAAATTTTTTTGACATTTTTCTAACTTTTGACGATATGTTTGAGGCCTAAAGTTATTTTAGTTTAAAAATTTCGTCCGGATGACGACGGACTTTTAGGCGATAAGAAGATTTTCGACCTGGACGTATTGTGTAAGCGTTTGATTTCAATTTTCATCTAATGTGATCGGATCGTGTGATTTCGTTTAAACATGTTTGCTGCGTTTGGAAGCGTACAATCTAACCAATAGCCAAATCAAACGCAATATTTGCATTCGACGTCGCGATTTGCATTTATTGAGACACTAATTAACGAAATACATTCGCGTCTTTCAGTGACCTGGAGCCGGGCGCAGCGACAGCACCCTCAGGCAGTTCTAGCAGTTCGAGTCTCTCCTCGAGGAGTAACGAGAGCAACACCGTGCCCGCTGAACAACAAGGTTTTTCCATTATTTGTAAATATCAAAGCACTACGCTTTGCACTGGCCGGTGCAGATGAAAATATGAGAATGCTGATGCAACTACATCACATTTTTATATGACAAATATTAATCAGTTAGTTATCTAGCCACGATTTCTACATACTGTTGAAGAAATGTTCTACGTCAGGTAATTAAATATTCTCAAAAAAGATGAAATAGCACATAGGCGGGTTGCGATTCTAGTGAAATTCTTATTTGATACACGGAGAGGCGCTTGAACAAACTAGTTTGTTGTTTTGACGGTTTCTGCAAGAAATATAAGAATTAAGCGGTCGGTTTAAATATGTTACAGCATCCCAATCCGACTGGTCGGACGAGGACGAGCCGCTGGCGGCGCAGTGGGCGGACAGCTTGCCGCCGCGCGCGCTCGACTCGCTCACACTCTCTGCAAGGTTACGCAAGCGCCAAGAAGTCATACACGGTAAGTTGTTCGAGTATACCGGGCATCGTCTACGTCAACTGTCATCGAGCCGTAACTGCAACGTAGCACGGGGCATGGCAGACACGCATTCAGTTTCGCAGTGCCCGATTTACAACATGAGTGTCCCGAAGAGGCCTTAAAGCCGCGCGCGTGTACGTGTCGCAGAACTGATCGTCTCGGAGGGCTCGCACGTGCGCTGGCTGCGCGTGCTGGGCTGCGTGTTCCTGCGGCCGCTGGAGGCGTCGGGGCTGCTGCCGGCCGACGAGCTGCGCGCGCTGCTGCCCAACCTGCCGGCCGTGCGCGAGCGGCACGCCAAGCTGTACGCCGAGCTGAAGGCGCTGCGCGGCGACCCCGCGCGCTTCGTGGTGCGGCCGCGGCCCGTGGCCGACGCGCTGCTGGCGGCGCTGGGCGACGCGGGCTACGCGCCCACGCTGGCGCGCTTCTGCCGCGGCCAGCGCATGGCGCTGGACGCGCTCAAGGAGCGGCGCCGCAAGAACAAGGAGCTGCACCAGTTCCTGGCCAGCCGCGAGCAGCTGCCGCTCTGCGGCCGCCTGCAGCTGCGCGACCTGCTGGCCTGCGTCTGGCAGAGGTCTGTCTTGAGACGTTGTTGGGACCCTGGGACCCGGTTGTGTTGTTTTTCACAATTTTTCGACGAGACTAAAAATTTAAGAACGTATGTTCAAAAATATATTGTGTCTTTACCGAAACCCGTACCGGATACGGACCGGCGACTTTGCTGCCCTTCTACGTCGCATTTTGGTAACTTCGAGATATAGGCATACTTGTAAATTTAAATTATGCTGATGTTGCTTAACAATAAGCTGAAACTAAATAAAATATAAAAAACAGCTTAAAAAGGCACATAGCGTAGTAGTTTAACATTACACAGAGATTAAAATATTATTTATATAATTATTGGTTATATTAATTGTTAACTAACATAACGGTACCACAAACCTTTCGATTAATAAATTAACTATAGATTTGTGGTTCATCTTTTTTTAGGCTCACAAAATACCAACTACTCCTAGAGAGTATACTAAAGACCGTGAGCGAAGAGGACAGCGAGGACAGCGAGAAGGATTCGCCGGAAGATATCGAGACGGTCCGAAAGGCCCTAAACGTCGCCAAGGAAGTTTTACACAGTGTTGACACCGCCATACGGACGTCTGAAAATGAACACAGGTAAGTTTTTTTTTTCGGTACCTCCGAACGTGTAACGGGTCATCGATTTTGTATTATTAATGGGGTTGCGGGGTCAGTGCTCAGCAAAACCAAAGAGATAGGCGTGTTCCTTTGTAACCGGGTTGAATCACCAAAGCGAGTTGCACTGTGCTTGCGCAGACTCCGGACTATCCAGTCCAAGCTGGAGGTGCGCATCTCCATCGCCGGCAGCGAGTGGGACGAGGTGCGGCGCCTGGACCTCACCACCAAGGTGCTGCGCATGGAGGGCGAGCTCAGCATCCGCAACGATTCCAACAAGAAGATGACTGTGCTGGTGAGACTCTGCTTTCCGTCTAAACCTACTTTTGTTTATGGTCTAAGGAGGCCACCCCTTTGAACCACTTCCTACGTGTGTTCGCTTTTAAAACCGTTGGCGACGTGCAGATGGCAACACGTGACATTTATTTTCAGTACACACAGTACGCTAGTCCTAATAATGTAAACAAAGTTCAAGTTGATGTATATTAAGTTGCATACGATAGTTTTCATTGGTTAAGCTCAGCGTTGAGTGGAACGCGGGGCTTGATCGATAAATTTTAGTGTTTATAAGATTAATATTTATAAGTGAAGTACGTGAATTTATTTATTAATTAACTATGACGATATGCGAAATAGTAAAGCGCAGTTTAACGTAATTCGGTGCGTCGCAGGCGCTGATGCTGGAGGACGCTCTGGTGCTGCTGCAGCGCGAGGGCGAGCGCTTCGTTCTGCGCCCCATCACGCCGCCGTCGCAGCAGACGCTGCTGTCGCCGCTCATCAAGTGGTACGTCGCCCTCAGCGCACGACTCGCCATTGGCTGTTGAGCGCTGTCGGTCATTTTATAATTATGGCGCTGCACTCCTTGAGTGGCCGTCGCGCTCTAAACTCGCTTTAAATATCTACGCTAGCTGTAACATATTTACGAGAGCAGAGTTATTAATCCTTAATAACATCGACTTTGAAAAGTTAAATTTAAGGCGAGTCAAACGGTTAGGTTAGTTTACTATTATATAAAAATATACGATACCCCCAAGGATTTTCTCTAAAGAATGCTAATTTGTTACACGATATAATGTACTTTATCCGATCATATAAAGTCGTGAAAACGCGCTAAAGTAAAGTTCTGAAACGAATTGTTTAAGAATAAAATATCTAACTTTGCACATCATTTTTATATGGAGATAATATATTTCGTTATAGGTACTATAAAGAACCTGCTAAATTTTGGTTTTCAACTGAAGCCCTACGGTTATTAAATTCACATTGATCTCAACATTTTAAATTTGCTCAGCGATTTAGTGACACGGCCCGCCGCCCGCTGCTCCGTCAGTTGCCTTCGGGCGCTTGTCTGGGCGACGGACCTGTGTCAGATTTTCTCCGTCTGTTTTTGTTTTACTCATATAAATTGTCAGCGCGCGAGTTGCGGGACGTGAGGGGCGGTTCACCAGACCTCATTACCTTACCTAAAATGTGGGCTCGCGTTGAAAAACCTCGCCGTAAACTATCGTCGTCACAAATTGTTTCGGAGAAATAAACCGTGACAGCAAACGAGGAAATCGATTTCAGTATTCTGTTTAACTAATGTTGATATTGGATACTGAAATATATCTTGTGTTCGTAGGGAGAAGGTGCTGTTTCGACCGAACGCGGCAGTGCGCCACACGTTCTTCCTGATGAACATTAACGGCGTTCAGATGCACGAGCTGTCGGCTAGCTCCGCCAACGAGTACGCACTGTGAGTAACACGCCTTAGCGTGGCACATCTCTCACTTCAAACTTTTGTATGATTTTTTTCTGCTGTTGCACTTTAATCTGTCAATTATAATTTCAGAAATGCACTCTTTTTAGTTTTGAACCAAAATTCTATTGTCAATGATACTCACAAACTGAAAAAAAAAATCATTATAGTTCGTACACAGGACTATAATAAGTTTCAATAAAAAACGTGTTTTTGCTAATTGAAAGAGTCTCTTAAATTTGTATTGAAATGATATTCAATTATT